CCCTTCCCCCCGCCCCACCTTCTAAATACACACACACACACACAGTCAGACACAAACACACACACACAGTCAGACACAAACACACACAGTGAGACACAAACACACACACACAGTCAGACAAACACACACACTCACACACACAGTCAGACACACACACACTCACACACACAGTCACAAACACAGTCAGACACAAACACACACACACACAGTCAGACACAAACACACAGTCAGACACAAACACACAGTCAGACACAAACACACACAGTCAGACACACAACACACACACAAACACAGTCAGACAGCACACAGTCAGACACAAACACACACACAGTCAGACACACACACACACACTCACAAACACACACAGTCAGACACAAACACACAGACACACACACACAGTCAGACACACACAGACACAAACACACAGACACAGTCAGACACACACACACACACTGAGACACAAACACACACACAGTCAGACACACACACACAGTCAGACACACACACACACAGACACACAAACACACAGACACAAACACAGACACACACACACACACACACAGTCAGACACACACCTTAACTTTTAAATTTTCCCCCAACCTCCTTACCTTGGGAGTGCTGGGAGGCCCTTTCTCCCTGGTGGTCCAGTGGTTGCCGGCCCGCTGGCTGGAAGCTGGGGGGGAGCTGACTGCTCCAGCTCAGCGCCGCCCGCAGAGTGAGGCTGGGAGCCGGGATATGACGTCATCGACCCGGCTCCCAGCCTCACTCTGCGGGCGGCGCGCGAGGGAGCTGAGCAGTCAGCTCAGAGGAAGAGCTCCCTCGCCAGCCGCATGCACAGCAGCCAGAGCCGCCCGCCCGCTCGGGATGTCAGTTAGCCGCAAGGCTAACTAGGCATTTGCCCTGGGCATTTGGGGGGCGGCGTTTTTTGCCGCCCCCTGAAAAATGCCGCCCAAGGCAAATGCCTTGTTTGCCTCGCGGCTAATACGTCCCTGGATATGTAAGATAAATATTACAAATTGATAACTACTGCATTAACATTTTTGTAATTTATTTTTTTAAATAAAAATTTACACACAATCACACTCAACCAAACACAATGACGTTAAACCAATACCTACTTATTGTGACAAAACGCCAATGGGGATGTGGGTCTGCCACCTCATCTCAGGCAAGAATGATTCCGTCTGCCCTTTGTGCCTCCTCCCAGACAGGTATCATTCCCTTTACTTGTGCTGCCTACAACTACATCATTTACAAAGGCAATTGTGGCTTTTGGGCCTAGCTCATTCTTGACACATACCTAGGATCAGGCACTAATGCAGCCTGCAAGCACATCTGAAAACTCTGTTAATGGAAACCCTAAATAAACCAGACAGGACACACAGTTGCCAACAGAAGTACCACACAACATTTAATTTTGATCAAGGACTAGCCTTTGGTGACTTGTCCTTAAACATGTGGCGAAAACCATTTAAAATACAAATATAAAGAACGTTGGAGAACAAGCAATTATAATTAGTACATGAAATATATAATATAAGTAACTTTTTCAAACACAATAAAAAGCAAAAATATATACATTTAATTACTTATTTGGTTGCTCTAATTTGCAAACCAGCATTATGTAAATGTAAACATTTCTATTTAGTCAGCAGAGGGTGCTGCAGAGTTATCAAACTAGCAATGCATAATTTGTACATTGATTGCTACTGTCACACTCATCACATTCAGCAACCAACCCATTATCACACTGAGCCTCCCACACACTGGCTTAATTTTTAATGGGTGCATCTGTGTGTTTGTATGTGTGTAATGTATGTGTGTGTAGTGTGTGTATCTTGTATGTGTAGTGTGTGTATCTGTCTGTGTGTAATGTGTGTATCTGTGTGTAGTGTGTATCTGTGTGTAGTGTATGTATCTGTGTGTGTGTAATGTGTGTGTGTGTAGTGTGTGTATCTGTGTGCATGCATATGTGTGTTGTGTGCATATCTGTGTGATTGTGTGTGTAGTGTATGTATCTGTGTGTAGTGTGTGTATCTGTCTGTGTGTGTAGTATGTGTATCTATGTGTAGTGTGTGTGTTGGTATGTGTGTAGTGTGTGTATCTGTATGTGTCAGTGTGTGTATCTCTATGTGTCAGTGTGTCTGTGCCAGTGTGTATGTCTGTGTATCTGCAGGCATATCAGTATGTGTGTACATCTGTATGTATGTCAATATCTGCATATGTGTCAGTATTTGATACATATACTGACACATGCAGATGCATAGACACACTGATACATGTGCAGATATACAGACAAGCATACAGTTGCACAGACACACTGATACACATGCAGATATACAGTCACACAGATACAAACACTGCCACACATGCAGATACACAGAAACAGTGTCTAGGTAAGTGTATTCGCTGCAGTTCACACACAGACACACGTTACATCTCCAGCACACACACAGACACATGCTACATCCCCAGCACACAGACACACACTACGTCCCCAGCACACACAGACGTACACTACATCCTCAGCACACACACAGACACACACTTCATCCCCAGCACACATACAGATACAAACTTCGTCCACAGCAAACACAAAGACACAAATTATCCTCCGCACACAGTTAGACACACACTTTATCCCCAATACACACACAGACACACATTTGTTTCCCAGCACATTCACATAGAGACACTACCATTGCAGAAACATATGTTTTTTAGGGGGTTGGAGGGGGCAGCATTTCATTCTTGGACCCAGGCAGAACAATGTCTTGGGTTGGCCCTGATACTATACTATACTATACTATATGATACTATACTATACTACTCCACACTATACCATATTGCACAATAGGCCTGTACTATACTATACTACACTATATTATACTATATGATACTGTTATGGACAAAATACTTGAAAGGATAAAATGTCTTTTTTTACTCTGTACATGTGTGCTCAGTAACTATTTCCTCTGTAAATTCCTCCCATCCGGCTACCCTCCCCCCTTCCCATCGAGCAAGCCTCGTGTAACAAATTCCTGTGTTAAAAGAACAGCTTCCTTTACTAAACTCCTCCCCCACTTCCATACTACTCCACACTATACCATATTGAACAATAGGCCTATACTATACTACACTATATTATACTATATGATACTATATTATCCTACACCATACTATATTATATTCTACTATATTGCACTATAGGGTAATAGCCTTCAGGCCTCATCTCCAACTCATACTCACTCATAGGAACAGTGATTGTGATGCTCTGCATTTTACATCCTGCAGTAACTCCAAGGCCTCATCTCACACTCATACTCACTCATAGGAACATGATTATGATGATTATGATTATGATGCTCTGCATTTAACATCCTGCAACTTAATGTATTCTTACATTGCTACTATATTTTCATGTGTTACTACTCAATTGTTTCCAATTATACCTGTAGTTTGCCACTGTAATTTCTGTGCATGCAGTTTTTATCATTGTCATTTAATATTTCTGACCAATATTTCATGTACACAGTTATTAATATTTTGGGTGATAGAATTTGGTTGCTAAACTTTTCGATTGTATACAACACATTGCTACTCTACCCCCCTCCCTTCCCCGATGCTACTTCTGGATGTAAATACCTTCATATAACTGTTCTCTCCATCTCTGTTCTTCAGGCCTCATCTCACACTCATACTCATACTCACTCAGGAACAGGGATTGTGATGCTCTGCATTTTTTGTTTCTCACCACTTCTCACCCACCCTCCCAGGTTCCCCCTAAATATATAGCATGCCCCTCCAGCTGTTTGAGATTCTCACTCAATTACCTCTTCATTCCCTTTTCATTTTACCAATAGCTGCTTCTCTCTGTTAACTCTTTTAGCCATCACCTGCAAATTTCCCCGGCTACCTTTTGTCTTAAATCTCCACGGTATCCTTCAGATTGTACGCTTACAGGCTATCTAGCTAAGCACTTTGTATAAAAGAGCTTCAATGGCTAGTTATCAGCTTACGGGCAGGACTCTCTCAACGTGTTGTATTTGTCTGTGTATATTGTAGGTTCTCCACTAATTGTACAGCGCTGCAGAATCTGTTGGTGCTTTATAAATACCAGTAATAAATATATAATAAATAAATACTGTACTTTATTATACTATACTGTGCTATACCATACTATACTATACTCCGCTATTCTATACTACACAACAATTTTACTATATGATACTATACTATTCTACACATACTATACAGAAACTACATTTTCTATTGGTAACCCTTTATATTAGCACTTTTGCATTGTGAGAATATGTAAATTACAGACAGTGACCAGTTATTTACAAATTAAAGGACACTATAGGCACCCAGACTACATCATCTAAATGAAGTAGTCTGGGTGCCTTGTTTTCCCCCTCCTTTTTTTAACTTCTTCATAACGGCAATTTTCCCACACTTGATAGTGTTGCACCGGAGGGAGACAATAAGTCCACCCCTTTTTATCACTTAGGGCCCCCTAATTGCTGCTAATGGGTTGGAGTCAGGTGGGAGACAATAGGTTTATCCCCCTTTTGTCACTTAGGGCCCCGATTGGCTGCTAACTTTGTAACTCATTCTCCTACTCGCAACATGGGAATAGGTGCTGGAGGGAGATTTTAAATTCCCTTATTTACTAATATTAAGTCATTTCTGCGAATGAAATTCCAAATCGAAAAAAATGCACAAATTTCGTCCTAACACGAATGGACAAACTGTATACATTCTGTTAGGTTGAACTTCAGTGAATTCGCCGGCGTCCTAGACTAAATGACAGGATGTTTGAATGGCGAATGAAGCATTGCAAGATCATGGAGGAGGGTTAGTATTGTGGAAACATTTTCTTTGTCCACAGGAAATGGCGCTAACTTAAGGTCCTCCTTTGGTCAAAGACGGTTAAGTGTAGGAAAAATACATCCCAAATTTGTCTTATCCTCTGATGAAGTGATCCTATCATCACGAAACGCGTAAGGCGGCAGCCTACACTGATTCCCAAGTGATAGCAGACTGGAACGCATCCAGAGCCGCAGTGGAATGCACGCGGCTGTCAGCCAGTGTTGATACAGCACGAGGAGGTCCAGACTGATGTTTATCCGTCCGGTGAGAGAGAGTTCACGAACAGCATTAGACCCTCAATCTGCAAACCTGGTATTCTCTGCTCTTTTACTTTGGGACATTTTTATTCACCAGTCTTTTATATATATGTGTATTGTACTGACAGTATTGATGTGCCAATAAAATCTTTTATATTAAGCACTCTGTCTGCTACACTATATAATTGACACAATTTTAAGGATTTTAACCCCTTGTGGGGCACTAGTCACTTATTTTTTTATGTATTTTTATTAAGTTTACAGTTTGTTTCGGTTCTTTTATATTGGTGTTTTAGAACCCTTACTAGATTATTTCTTCAGCGATTTCGTATTTTCCCTATCCTTCTATATGGGAGGCATTGATCCGACTAGCTGATACATTTATATCCTATTATTTATTGAATATATTTTTATTATCTTATTTTTATCCTTGAGTTACATTTCCACTGAGTCCTGCAATTACTATTGATTAATTCAATAGGCACATAATGCTTCTAATTTGTCTTATGTTTTAAAGAAAACTTGATCAAAAATAGAAAAAAAAAGAAAAGAAGAATGGATTCTGAGTGGGAGAGAAGAGGAATCGATTATAGGAAAGGTAAGTTTGGCATGACAGTGCCGCTTTAAGTTTGTTTGTTGTTTTTTTTCACATATTGGAACAAATATGGGTTTATAAAACTAAATAAAAAAAAATAAAAAGTAGGCTGTCTTGTTTTCTTACTCTGATTTCTATTAAATTCAGCAAATGCAGTAATTTGTAATGATAAATGTTTTCCACAATGCACACAGCATCACGTGCATTAATTAGCTGCCAATGGACTGAAATGTATGTATGGGGGAAATTGGCAATCTATAGGGAGAATAGGGAGAAAATTGGAACTTTCTCCTCTGGAACTTACTCTAAAACACCTGATTGTTTTTCCCACTTTTTTTTTTCTGAAATGAGTCAATTAGACAACAATTTGTTCACTAAAATATTGCTAAATTTGTTTACTAAAATGGGGATATATGCACAAAAAAGTAGAAATTTCTGTTTGGTGAAAATGGGGGCTACGGCTCAGTCTTAACATGTTCTTACACCAATCTTGTTAAATATTTTCAAGTGGACACACTCAAACTCTTTCTAAAATGTTAAGGGATATTACTTAGAAAACAGATTTGATACTATTTTCTTCAAATATATATATATATTTATATATATATATATATATATATATATATATATATATATATATATATATATTTATTTTTTAAAGTTACTTTCTAAAAAGAATTTAAAGCCAGGCCATGTGGATACCATTGGCATTGTTAAATATTATTTCATGAATTCTAATATATAATTAAGATCAAACACTGTACCCTAAAAGCTAATATTTCATAATTAATAATTAGCATACAAGATGACAAATCCAGAACAATAATCTGCTCTATTAGGATACAGCAGGATTCCTATTAAGCATTCTGCATACATCAACACATTACAGACTGCGTTACTTGTGTACCACAATAACCAATTATTTCATTACTATAGCTTTCTTCTTCTGAAAAGCAGTGCATTTAATATACTGAGTACAGTGATTAAAAAAAAGAAAGAATTAGTAGTCCATGGGAGCATGCACTACTAGAATAAAATGTTTAAATATTTAATTTTTTTTCGGTCAGTGGTGCAACACCTGCTATTAGCTGGGGAGTCTCTGATTTTCATATTGTCTGTCCTAGCAGTTGGACTGGGCTAAAGCCAGGGAGGAGTGAGAGGCAGACTCCCTGCTTCCGTAAAGCTGAATTTAATAAGATGAAAACAGTATGCCAAGATGGTGAGCTCTTTCCTTAGCACTTATCATGACACTAGTCGCTCAGCAGGGCCCTTAATGCAGGAATAATCAGGGTGAGCCTGGCAGAGTATGGGGCTTACAAGTCCAATATAATAGAGCAGTGGGGAGCTGGGGGGCCTGGCAGAAAAGCTTAGCAAACTTAAAGCCTATTACTCTACGCATGACCGGCTATGCCAACTGTAGCAGCATGCTAACCCTGCTATATAATAGTGCGTGCATTAGTCTACATTCAAGAGCAATGTTAATTTAAATGTCTTCAATATCAATGGAAATGTGCATGCAAATTGAGCGCTATTCAAATCACTTTGTAACTTTACCTAGGATTAAAAATATTGCAGATTAAGTGACATTTTTATATATTTAACTCCTTCAGGACTGATGATAGTTCAGGGGCCAGGCTATTATGATAATAGGTACTGCAGAAGTTAAATTGCAGGCAGGTGCTTGTATGTTTGATCTTTTGACATATTTTTGTTTTTGTGGATGTTGTGATATTTTTTCTGATCATGGGAAGCCAAAAATTTAAATTAAGCAGGATAGCAAGAATACCATTGTAAGTATAAGAAAAGACGATGTTCTCACACTCACTTCAAATAAATGAGTAAGCAAGGATGATATTAAGTTTGCAGACTACCTACAAAATAGTATTAGTCATAGGTTTAATAGAAATAATTTGTCTATTCTGCTGTGAATATCTGAATATCTTAAAGTAAAACAGTAAATAGATTATTATATGTTCAATATTGCACAGCATTAGTACTGTTTGCTCACAGTTTGCTGTAGGTCGCTGAAAATATATATAAAAAAAGTAAAGTAAAGGGGAAAATAGAATAATTAACTTTGTTTTAAAGAGTCATTGATTCTTTAAATAGATCACACCAAAATAACCTTTTTTCAATTTAATTTAAAACATATGTACTTGGTGTGACTCAGGTGTTTTACAGTTGGTGTTCCTATCATTTGTGTTCACAGCAAGTGTCTAAGCCTGCACAATCCCTAACTATCTGGGCACTCACAAATGGATGTGTTTACTGGACAGTTTTGCTTGGGTTTTTTTTTAAGCTATCAATTCATCTATAGATAATGTGCCATTTTTGTAATTACAAATTGTTAATTTTTCTTTACATTTTTTACTAAAACTTACCTGCAATACAGATTTAGCTTGATATCACTTGCATATAGAGAGCAGTATTTAGACTTGTGTATTCAATTTCAAACGAATTGCGAATTCTGAGTGATAGGTGGTTTGTCTGGATCCACAAACAAATGTTACATAGACAAAACACAAAACAAACAAAATGGACAGTGGATGAAACTGAAGTACTGCCCAAAAATGGCTCAAACAATTTCATGACTGATGAAAAAAAAGACGACTGACAGTAAGGGGACAGCCACTAAATGTTGGTTTTATTTTAAAATCAAATTAGAAGTGACTAATAGAAAGGGAAAGGAGGAGCAACAACAACACAAATCTATATTTACATATTAATATGTTAATAATATATAATTGCTCTATACTTACCAATTCAGTGCTGGTGAACCACTCCTCTTCCTGGTCCGCATGTGCTGAATTCAACTGACAGTCACTGCTTCTCAGCATTTAGTCAAACGCTGCCCATTTGATTGGCTCGCCTATATGTATATTGAATATCGTGAATTGCCCTTAAAGTGACCATGTCGTGTAGGCAACCCCATTATCATACTTTTTGGAGTCGCAGCGATTACGTGCACCAATCAGTACATGTATAAGCTGGTTATCTGAGCCCTTATTCAATGCTCTATCATGATTTCTACCTTGATTTCTACCTTGCTACATGTTTAGTGCTAATAGTAATACTCTCTTGATAGTCTGATATTGTCCTTGGCTTGTATTTGCTTCATGTATTTCTGGTAACCTGCCCTGGCTTGTTTCTGGCTTTAAGTATTTCTGGAATCCTGATCTCGCTTGTTTACCTGTATTTCTTTAATCCTGACCTTGGCTATTACTGACTTTCTCATTCTCATTCTCATTCTTATGTTAAGTCTGGCCACTCTAAAGCTATTTAGTACCTCTGTTTGTGGGATTTACCATTGCCTGTAAGTTAGGGTATGAAACCCTGACACCCAACTATTTAGCAGGAACTTATATGCCACTTCACAAAGCAACCAATGTACCAATGCATCATATTTAAGTATGGGGATCTAGGTTCCCTGAGTTCTAAAAGGCTTGTACCTATCCCCTATCTTGTGCCCATTTTGCTGGTGAATAGATTGAAGAGATGGTTGGTTTTGCCCATAGATTGCATGAGTACCTAAGTCGTATGTACGACTTTGGCTCTTGGCACCAAGAGGAAACCAATAATGTCATTGGCTTTTGCTTCAATAAAAGGAACTTCCACTGTAGTAGTGTTTCCAGCTTTCAATGTTCTAAGCAGATTCACTAAGGGAATTATGCATATAAATGTTTTTTTAACAGGGTACAACTCCTACACATGTAAGGGGCCAGCCCAGCAAACCCAGGCCCTATATCCACAGTGCCCTGGGCCTCTTACACAAACACAGACCCAGTAAGGGAGATTAAAGATCTCCCTCCCAGGTCTTTGCATAGTTGCGCAGCATGAAAGGGGCAGGAGGCTCTCAGTCTTTACCTATGCGGATGCCGGGGCTTTTGAGAAGAACCTTTCCGGCAGAACCATAGAGGTAAAGTCTGAGAGCCTCTACATCACCACCAGACCACCAGGGAATATGCTGTCCCGCTCTATGGATACAGGTAAGAAACAGGGAAGGGGGAATAAAAGTTACAAAAAAAACCCACTGCATCCAATATGTACACACGTGCTCCCTTACACAGACATACACTGCACCTCCTATACATACACTACATCCCACAGACAAACTGTATCTCCTATACACTACATTTCTTAATCACACACATTAAATCTTCTACAATACTACACAACATATCCCCTGCACACATATACTCCAATCCCTGTAAATGGGCCCTGTGGGTGGACATATGGGTGGGCCTTGTGGGCAGACTCTGGGGTGGGCCCTAGAGGTTGAGGCCTTGAGCTGCATAAAGGGCCCCAAAATTTCTGATGGCAGCCTTGGTTCTGAAGAATGACCTAAAGTACTAAATGTGGGGCATTCACCATGGGCCCCAGTGAAACTAGCTGTAACATTCTATTGGTGACTCCTCCTCTTTTACATCTTTGAACTCACATTTTTTATACTTAACTCCCTATGACTTTGTCTAGCTAGATTTCCA